GTCTTGCAGCCCAAAGAAGAGTTGCAATGTGCTAACAATCACTTTTACCAGATTGGCCACTTGTTTCTTTAGACTCAGTAGTGACTAGTGCCCTAAAGGAACATTACATTTGTAAAATTTCTGTTTGCAGGGGGAGTGTTATTCTTTCCTCTCTTTATTACACTGTTCCTCAGAGAGTTACAGTCCACACTTCTCTTCACTGCGCACCAACTGGGCCCCATCATGTGCGTGGAAGACTCTTCATTGCCTTTAAAGAAAATTGGTTGTTTTGGGGGTAAAGAGCTCTTTTCCTTATTTCAGGCTATCTCCTTGCCACCAGGTCCTGAGGGCCCAAAGGGAGCTAGTCTACCTGTTTGATAGTCCTAGCTGCTCACTGGGGACTGTAAGACCACCTCAGGTTGAAGGTATTAGATTAGTTTCTGAAGACTAGTGGGTTAGTTTTCCTTAAGTTCAAATCAACACAAGTAACAATTGATTTTACACATTCTAATTCTGTTTATGCTGTGTAACCAAGCCATATTTAAATTTGCTATAAACCTCTTACTAGTTTACTTCAATCGGTGTGAGAATTCACTTTCTGGTGGTGATTTATTTCAGTTAAGAGTGTACTGTTATGTCAGTGTGGGGTGGGCTTTCAGAGAGGAGTCCAGATCCACAGGGAACCCAAAAAGAATTCAGCAACTCCTAAGGGGGTAGTGGTACATGTGGGGGCTTGTCCGGGATTTCTCTGTCCAGAGAGTCTGTGAACCCCAGGAAGAAAGGATGGAACTCACACAGATCACTGCCTGGTGCCAAGAGGAGAATGCCAGAATGGTGTGTGGTGTAAAGCCTCCCTGGAGATGACTGGACTGAAGAGCGGGTCGAGCAGATGCTGACAGCCAGCATCCCTGATCAGGGAGTGAGAATCCTCTACATCAGAAGTATTCCAGATGTTCCAAATGTTTTGATACTGACAGAATGGAATAAAGGAATTCATCATCTACTAGAATGATAGAATGTACACCTGTCTGATTACAGTAATGGTCCAGGTGTTTAGACCAGTCCACCCTGATGGCAGCACAGAGAGTTCAAGGAAAGGAACCCGGAACCCGAGCCATCCACCTCAGCAGACATAGTGGGAGGCATACCGGTTACATCACTGGTGGTGTCAGCAGGGGTTGTGTGTATCATGAGTGTATGTATTGTGTGTGTGTGTATCATGTATGTGTGTATTGTGCACATGCAACACTCTTGTGGGTGCCTGCCCTGGAGAGAGGAAGTGAGTGCCTTCTCATCCTGCATGGATCCTGGCTTAGAAGAGGAGACCTGCCTTGTAGTGGAGGTGTGCTGCGCAGTGTACTGGGATGTCCAGGATGGCATAGCTGTGAATGGAGAATTGGATCCCTCTATGACAGGTGATGGGGTTGGGTGGGGTCCCTGCCCCCACCCCCATTATACTCCTGTCATTATTTGTATGTTGCAGTTGCATAGACCTGCTCAGTACTGCTCACCGCATGATGGCCAGGAACAAGCTGCTGCCTCCACTTCCAGAGATAATGGCCTCCCCCACCTCCTATTTGCCCCAAACTCTGCCCGAGGAGCTGCCTGTGTCACCGGCAAGAACTGCTCTGAATGGTGAGAGTAGTGTGCTGCCCTTGGGTCTCTGCAGCCCGAACAATGTCACCCGGGCGCTGGCCAGGGACTAATATTTGCGCACCTATAAATATTGCGCGTGGGGAGACTGCATCGGCTGCCCCCTCATGCTATGCCACTGGCAATTAGAGCCTCATGAGCTTCCTGTCACCTGACACAACCATTCACTATTCAGTGTCAGGGATCCCCCATTACTACACATCTACTATTCAGTGTCAGGAGATCCCCCATTACTACACATCTACTATTCAGTGTCAGGGATCCTCCATTACTACACATCTACTATTCAGTGTCAGGAGATCCTCCATTACTACACACATCTACTATTCAGTGTCAGGGGATCCCCCATTACTACACATCTACTATTCAGCATCAGGGATCCCCCATTACTACACATCTACTATTCAGCGTCAGGAGATCCCCATTACTACACATCTACTATTCAGTGTCAGCCATCCCCCATTACTACACATCTACTATTCAGTGTCAGGGGATCCCCCATTACTACACATCTACTATTCAGTGTCAGCCATCCCCCCATTACTACACATCTACTATTCAGTGTAGGGGATCCCCCCCATTACTACACATCTACTATTCAGTGTCAGGGGATCCCCCATTACTACACATCTACTATTCAGCATCAGGGGATCCCCCATTACTACACATCTACTATTCAGCGTCAGGAGATCCCCATTACTACACATCTACTATTCAGTGTCAGCCATCCCCCATTACTACACATCTACTATTCAGTGTCAGGGATCCCCCATTACTACACATCTACTATTCAGTGTCAGCCATCCCCCATTACTACACATCTACTATTCAGTGTCAGGGATCCCCCATTACTACACATCTAATATTCAGTGTCAGGGGTCCCCCATTACTACACATCTACTATTCAGTGTCAGGGATCCCCCATTACTACACATCTACTATTCAGTGTCAGGATATCCCCCCATTACTACACATCTACTATTCAGTGTCAGGATATCCCCCGATTACTACACATCTACTATTCAGTGTCAGGAATCTCCATTACTACACATCTACTATTCAGTGTCAGGCATCCCCCATTACTACACATCTACTATTCAGTGACAGGGATCCCCCATTACTACACATTTACTATTCAGTGTCAGGGGTCCCCCATTACTACACATCTACTATTCAGTGTCAGGGGTCCCCCATTACTACACATCTACTATTCAGTGTCAGGGATCCCCCATTACTACACATCTACTATTCAGTGTCAGGCATCCCCCATTACTACACATCTACTATTCAGTGTCAGGGATCCTCCATTACTACACATCTACTATTCAGTGTCAGGAGATCCTCCATTACTACACATCTACTATTCAGTGTCAGGGGATCCCCCATTACTACACATCTACTATTCAGCATCAGGGGATCCCCCATTACTACACATCTACTATTCAGCGTCAGGAGATCCCCATTACTACACATCTACTATTCAGTGTCAGCCATCCCCCATTACTACACATCTACTATTCAGTGTCAGGGGATCCCCATTTACTACACATCTACTATTCAGTGTCAGCCATCCCCCATTACTACACATCTACTATTCAGTGTAGGGGATCCCCCATTACTACACATCTACTATTCAGTGTCAGGGGATCCCCCATTACTACACATCTACTATTCAGCATCAGGGGATCCCCCATTACTACACATCTACTATTCAGCGTCAGGAGATCCCCATTACTACACATCTACTATTCAGTGTCAGCCATCCCCCATTACTACACATCTACTATTCAGTGTCAGGGGATCCCCCATTACTACACATCTACTATTCAGTGTCAGCCATCCCCCATTACTACACATCTACTATTCAGTGTCAGGGATCCCCCATTACTACACATCTAATATTCAGTGTCAGGGGTCCCCCATTACTACACATCTACTATTCAGTGTCAGGGATCCCCCATTACTACACATCTACTATTCAGTGTCAGGATATCCCCCCATTACTACACATCTACTATTCAGTGTCAGGATATCCCCCGATTACTACACATCTACTATTCAGTGTCAGGAATCTCCATTACTACACATCTACTATTCAGTGTCAGGCATCCCCATTACTACACATCTACTATTCAGTGACAGGGATCCCCCATTACTACACATTTACTATTCAGTGTCAGGGGTCCCCCATTACTACACATCTACTATTCAGTGTCAGGGGTCCCCCATTACTACACATCTACTATTCAGTGTCAGGGATCCCCCATTACTACACATCTACTATTCAGTGTCAGGCATCCCCCATTACTACACATCTACTATTCAGTGTCAGGCATCCCCCATTACTACACATCTACTATTCAGTGACAGGGATCCCCCATTACTACACATTTACTATTCAGTGTCAGGGGGTCCCCCATTACTACACATCTACTATTCAGTGTCAGGGGTCCCCCATTACTACACATCTACTATTCAGTGTCAGGGATCCCCCATTACTACACATCTACTATTCAGTGTCAGGCATCCCCCATTACTACACATCTACTATTCAGTGTCAGGCATCCCCCATTACTACACATCTACTATTCAGTGACAGGGATCCCCCATTACTACACATTTACTATTCAGTGTCAGGGGTCCCCCATTACTACACATCTACTATTCAGTGTCAGGGGTCCCCCATTACTACACATCTACTATTCAGTGTCAGGAGATCCCCCATTACTACACATCTACTATTTCAGTGTCAGGCATCCCCCATTACTACACATCTACTATTCAGTGTCAGGGATCCCCCATTACTACACATCTACTATTCAGTGTCAGGTTATCCCCCCCATTGCTACATGTCTTCTATGCAGTTTCAGGGGTTTCCCCTCATTACTAAACATCTTATATTCAGTGTCGGGATACCCCATTACTACACATCTACTATTCAGTGTAAGGGGATCCCCATTACTTCCTATGAGTACAGAGCTCTGATCAGCAGAGATAAATAGAATATCAGATACAATCCTCCCGTCCAATCACTAACAATGCTGATTCCGGCCTCACACTGTCTGCTGATCCCATTCATGTTCCATACACAAGGAGATGATATCACAATACGAGTCATGTCAGTGGTATTCTGTGCTCATCCTGTGTATGGAGATATCACCGTCTCTACACATGGAGGACAATATTGGGGGGTCTACTCCATTATAACATTTGTCCTATAAAATTCCATTTCCTGGAGATTTATAAAGTGATCGAATATAAATGATTCCAATAAAGAGAAATGAGCTCCATCCATGTAGAGAATAGTTTCATTCATTCCTGGGGGGGGGGGGGGGGATTCATTTCCTTCTGGTAACATTCTTCTCTTCTACAGATTGTATGATACTCACCTGACAGACAGTTCCTGCCCCACCTGGCATCTGGAATAAGAAATAACCCGACACTGAGGACACTGGACCTGTCTGGGAACAATCTGGAGGGTCCTCATTTCGGGGATCTGATGGCGGCTCTGACAACAAGCCGGATAGAGGAATTACAGTGAGTATAACAGGACAGTTCTGGTTGAGCCTTATGTGCTGATGTCATTCTGCCGCGACCGGAGCTCAGAGCAGCAGCCATCTTGGTATGTGTTTTTATACACAAATGAATTGTTTTATCTATGTGGATTGTATTTTAAGCTTTTAATAAACACTACACTATATGCTGAACCTTGGGCTCCTGTGGTATTTCCCCCTAGGACGATTCCCTTGTTGATTTTCTAAAGTCTGTTTTCTGGAGAAGTCCGGTCTGCATATATGGCTCTCCGAGATCTTCTATGGAATCAGCACAAATGCTCCTATACCAGTAGTGTTCTGGTGAGTGCATATCCATAAGAGGTGGTGGATTCCCACATTGCATTATGAGCACCTTTTCAATATTTCACCTGGTATTGCTGAACCTTGTAGTATCTACGGATTCCTTCACTGGATGATGAGCACTATTATATTTATCACATTGGTATTGCTGAGACTTGTAGTACCACGGAAATTTTATTCATATTTTATTTTGTTTAATATTTCAATGGTTACATGTGCAATACATTCATATTTTGTCACATAGTTTAATAACATCAGTTGTTCACATTTTTCACCATAAACACTTTATGACAGAATTTAATATTTAGCTCTGCACTTCCACTTATACTAGTTCTTGTGGGATTTTGTCCCATTTTGTGCTAGCAGGTCCAAATATACTCAGCGCTTGCCAGATATCCTGCATTCCATATATATCGATGACATTATAGATATTCATATACAGTACATGGGCATCTGATCATAATGCAAGTGATCAGAGCATCATACAAATATTTTTCTTCTGGCGTGGCCAACTGCTATTCAGTTCCGGAAGATCTCCCCATTACTGAACATTTGTTACCTAGCGCCATGACTTCCTATGAATACAGAGCTCTGATCAGCAGAGATAAATAGAATATCAGATACAATCCTCCCGTCCAATCACTAGCAATGCTGATTCTGGCCTCACACTGTCTGCTGATCCCATTCATGCTCCATACACAAGGAGATGATAGCACAATACGAGTCATGTCAGTGGTATTCTGTGCTCATCCTGTGTATGGAGATATCACCGTCTCTACACATGGAGGACAATATTGGGGGGGTCTACTCCATTATAACATTTGTCTTATAAAATTCTATTTCCTGGAGATTTATAAAGTGATGGAATATAAATGATTCCAATAAAGAGAAATGAGTTCCATCCATGTAGAGAATAGTTCCATTCATTCCTGGGGGGGGGGGGGGGGATTCATTTCCTTCTAGTAACATTCTTCTCTTCTTCTACAGATTGTCCTATACTCACCTGACAGACAGTTCCTGCCCCCACCTGGCATCTGGAATAAGAAATAACCCGACACTGAGGACACTGGACCTGTCTGTGAACAATCTGGAGGGTCCTCATTTCAGGGATCTGATGGCGGCTCTGACAACAAGCCGGATAGAGGGATTACTGTGAGTATAACAGGACTGACTGAGACAATCATATTCTGGGACAGATTAACATTCAATTGTCTAAATCTTCGGATCTTCTCTCTAACTCTGTTATCAGCAATAAATTAGACTTTTTCTACAGCTGGCAATAAGTGGATCAAATATCGACAGGTTATAGAATATAAAATGTAAACATTAAAGTGTTACTAAACCCACAACAATACAGTCTGTAGATGCAGTAAAGCATGATTGTGATACTCACTGTGGAACCTAAGGGGTTAATCCTCTGCATTGTGTAAAAAGGCTGATTGATCCTTTCTGCTTTGTTCCTCCCCTTTTTCAAGCAACCACCTCTTATCTTCTGATGAGACAGACTGAACAGTAGGCATTCTGGAAATGCTCAGTTTAGTTTGTATTACTAGAGGTTTATTTTTTCCTTGGGAGGGTGCATGTGATCAGCACAGGGCTAATAAGCGCTGTCTGGACAGAGATCAAGGGTTCTGCATCCTCCAAGAGCAGAAAGAAAACTTCTCCTACAAGATTCAACCATTGCTCTGCTGGACACTGATAGAAATCAAAAGACTGCTATATACTGCTGATGAGAAAAGGTATTTAATAGTTTATATTTACTAAAAGAATTGCATTTCCATGTTGTGTGTACTGTAGGAGACCAGATATAGTGAATGCAGGGTCTGGGGAGAGAGGGATACAGTGAATGCGGGGTCTGGGGAGACCGGATATAGTGAATGCGGGGTCTGGGGAGAAGGGATATAGTGAATGCGGGGTCCGGGGAGAGGGGATATAGTGAATGCAGGGTCCGGGGAGAGCGGATATAGTGAATGAGGGGTCCGGGGAGAGGGGATATAGTGAATGCGGGGTCCGGGGAGAGCGGATATAGTGAATGCAGAAAGGGGGGTCCGGGGAGAGCGGATATAGTGAATGCAGGGTCCGGGGAGAGCGGATATAGTGAAAGCAGGGTCCGGGGAGAAGGGATATAGTGAATGCGGGGTCCGGGGAGAGGGGATATAGTGAATGCAGGGTCCGGGGAGAGCGGATATAGTGAATGCGGGGTCCGGGGAGAGGGGATATAGTGAATGCAGGGTCCGGGGAGAGAGGATATTGTGAATGCAAGGTCCGGGGAGAGCAGATATAGTGAATGCAGGGTCCGGGGAGAACAGATATAGTGAATGCAATGTCCGGGAGAGGGGATACAGTGAATGCGGGGTCCGGGATGAGGGGATATAGTGAATGCAGGGTCCGGGAGGAGGGGATATAGTGAATGCAGGGTCCGGGGAGAACAGATATAGTGAATGCAGGGTCCTGGGAGAGGGGATATAGTGAATGCAGGGTCCGGGAAGAGGGGATATAGTGAATGCAGGGTCCGAGGAGAGGGGATATAGTGAATGCGGGGGTCTGGGGGAGGGGGGGAGAGCGGATATAGTGAATGCGGGGTCCGGGGAGAGGGGATATAGTGAATGCGGGGTCCGGGGAGAGGGGATATAGTGAATGCGGGGTCCGGGGGGGGAAAGCGGATATAGTGAAAGCAGGGTCTGGGGAGAAGGGATATAGTGAATGCGGGGGTCCGGGGAGAGGGGATATAGTGAATGCAGGGTCCGGGGAGACCGGATATAGTGAATGTGGGGTCCGGGGAGAGGGGATATAGTGAATGCGGGGTCCGGGGAGAGCGGATATAGTGAAAGCAGGGTCTGGGGAGAAGGGATATAGTGAATGCGGGGTCCGGGGAGAGAGGATATTGTGAATGCAAGGTCCGGGGAGAGAAGATCTAGTGAATGCAGGGTCCGGGGAGAACGGATATATAGTGAATGCGGGGTCCGGGGAGAGGGGATACAGTGAATGCGGGGTCCGGGAGGAGGGGATATAGTGAATGCAGGGTCCGGGAGGAGGGGATATAGTGAATGCAGGGTCCGGGGAGGAGGGGATATAGTGAATGCAGGGTCCTGGGAGAGGGGATATAGTGAATGCAGGGTCCGGGAAGAGGGAATATAGTGAATGCAGGTTCGAGGAGAGGGGATATAGTGAATGCGGGGTCCGCGGAGGGCAGATATAGTGAATGCGGGGTCCGGGGAGAGGGGATATAGTGAATGCGGGTCTGGGGAGAGCAGATACAGTGAATGCGGGGTCCGGGGGAGAACAGATACAGTGAATGCGGGGTCCGGGGAGAACAGATACAGTGAATGCGGGGTCCGGGGAGAACAGATACAGTGAATGCGGGGTCCGGGGATAGCAGATATAGTGAATGCAGGGTCTGGGGAAAGGGGATATAGTGAATGCGGGGTCCAGGAAGAGCAGATATAGTGAATGCAGGGTCCGGGGAGAGCGGATATAGTGAATGCAGGGTCCGGGGAGAGCGGATATAGTGAATGCGGGGTCCGGGGAGAGCGGATATAGTGAATGCGGGGTCCGGGGAGAGCGGATATAGTGAATGCGGGGTCCGGGGAGACCGGATATAGTGAATGCGGGGTCCGGGGAGACCGGATATAGTGAATGCGGGGGGGGTCTGGGGAGACCGGATATAGTGAATGCGGGGTCTGGGGAGAAGGGATATAGTGAATGCAGGGTCCAGGGAGACCAGATATAGTGAATGCGGGGTATCCGGGGAGACCAGATATAGTGAATGCAGGGTCCGGGGAGAACGGATATAGTGAATGCGGGGTCCGGTGAGAACGGATATAGTGAATGCAGGGTCCGGGGAGAGGAGATATAGTGAATGCAGGGTCCGGGGAGAGCGGATATAGTGAATGCAGGGTCCGGGAGGAGGGGATATAGTGAATGTAGGGTCCGGGGGGAGAGGGGATATAGTGAATGCGGGGTCCGGGGAGAGCAGATACAGTGAATGCAGGGTCCGGGAGGAGGGGATTTAGTGAATGTAGGGTCCGGGGAGAGGGGATATAGTGAATGCGGGGTCCGGGGAGAGCAGATACAGTGAATGCAGGGTCCGGGAGGAGGGGATATAGTGAATGCGGGGTCCGGGGAGAGGAGATATAGTGAATGCGGGGTCCAGGGAGAGCAGATATAGTGAATGCGGGGTCCGGGGAGAGCAGATATAGTGAATGCGGGGTCCGGGGAGAGCAGATATAGTGAATGCAGGGTCTGGGGAAAGGGGATATAGTGAATGCGGGGTCCAGGGAGAGCAGATATAGTGAATGCAGGGTCCAGGTCCGGGGAGAGCGGATATAGTGAATGCAGGATCCAGGGATTGCGGATATAGTGAATGCGGGGTCCGGGGGGGAGAGCGGATATAGTGAATGCAGGGTCGGGGGAGAGCGGATATAATGAATGCGGGGTCCGGGGAGAGCGGATATAGTGAATGCAGGGGACGGGATTGCGGATATAGTGAATGCGGGGTCCGGGGAGAGCGGATATAGTGAATGCGGGGTCCGGGGTTTAGTAACATTACATTTATTTTGGTATCTGTATAAATAGATGACATTAAAGATGCTCATACATGGGAGAATCTGATCTTAATGCAATGAGTGATTAGAACATCAAACAAAATTCTTTTCATCTGGCGTGCTATTCAGTTCCGGAAGATCTCCCCATTACTGAACATTTGTTTACCTAGCGCCATGACGTCCTATGAGTACAGAGCTCTGATCAGCAGAGATAAATAGAATATCAGATACAATCCTCCCGTCCAATCACTAGCAATGCTGATTCCGGCCTCACACTGTCTGCTGATCCCATTCATGCTCCATACACAAGGAGATGATAGCACAATACGAGTCATGTCAGTGGTTTTCTGTGCTCATCCTGTGTATGGAGATATCACCGTCTCTACACATGGAGGACAATATTGGGGGGTCTACTCCATTATAACATTTGTCTTATAAAATTCTATTTCCTGGAGATTTATAAAGTGATCGAATATAAATGATTCCAATAAAGAGAATGAATTCCATCCATGTAGAGAATAGTTCCATTCATTCCTGGGGAAGGGGGGGGGGGATTCATTTCCTTCTGGTAACATGCTTCTCTTCTTCTACAGATTGGTTGGTAATCACCTGACAGACAGTTCCTGCCCCCACCTGGCATCTGGAATAAGAAATAACCCGACACTGAGGACACTGAACCTGTCTAAGAACAATCTGGAGGGTCCTCATTTCAGGGATCTGATGGCGGCTCTGACAACAAGCCGGATAGAGGAATTACAGTGAGTATAACAGGACTGACTGAGACAATCATATTCTGGGACAGATTAACATTCAATTGTCTAAATCTTCGGATCTTCTCTAACTCTGTTATCAGCAATAAATTAGACTTTTTCTACATCTGGCCATAAGTGGACCAAATATGGACAGTTTAGTAAGGACCAGCCGAGATCTGACCCATCTATGGCAGGCTGGTTGTACTGAAGATGATCCGTCAATCACATTCAGGACAACCATCCTCTGGGACTTTTTGCATTCGATCACTGCTGGAGGTCTATAGCAGCTAACAGTGATCAGTGTTCTGCTGGCAGGGAAGGCTTCCTGTTGGCAGAACACAGTTGTGCGGCAGGAGTGATTCCCCCATCCATTCTGACTGTGTTGATGGGGGGGGGATTGAGCAATTGTCTGTCTTTCCACCCGTAGTGGAAGGAAAGAATATTGTATAGTCTGTAGCTTACTTAAAGCTCCCCACACACAGTACAGTCTGATCTTACAATCTTCTTTACCTCCATTGCCTAATTGGATACAAACTGACTGGATACATTGGGTAGGTCCTCATATGATATAAAGTTGTACAAACAGCATAATATCAGATGGTAACATGGTGACCCTATAGACTATAAAATGTAACCATTAAAGTGTTACTAAACCCACAACAGTACAATCAGTCTGTAGATGCAGTAAAGCATGCTTGTGATACTCACTGTGGAACCTAAGGGGTTAATCCTCTGCATTGTGTAAAAAGAACAATTGATCCTTTCTGCTCAGTTCCTCCTTTTTTTCTAGTGACCACCTCTTATCTTCTGATAAGACAGACTGAACCGTAGGCATTTTGTACATGCTCAGTTTAATGTGTATTGCCAGAAAGGTTTTTTTTTTTTCCTTGGGAGGGTGCATGTTATCAGCACAGGGCTAATTAGCGTTTTCAGACAGAGATCAAGGGTACTGCATCCTTTTAGAGCAGAAAGAAAACTCCTCCTACAAGCTTTAACCAGTGCTCTGCTGAACACTGATAGGAGTCAAAAGACTGCTATATACTGCTGATGAGAAAAGGTATTCAGCAGTTTATATTTACTAAAGTAATTACATTTCCATGTTGTGTGTACTGTGGGAGACCAGATATAGTAAATGCGGGGTCCGGGGGAGAGCGGATATAGTGAACGCGGGGTCCGGGGAGAGCGGATATAGTGAACGCGGGGTCCCGGGGAGAGCGGATATAGTGAACGCGGGGTCCGGGGAGAGCGGATATTTTAGTGAATGCGGGGGTCCGGGGAGAGCGGACTTAGTGAATGCAGGGTCCGGGGTTTAGTAACACTCTACATTTAGTTTGGTTATACATATAAATAGATGACATTAAAGATGCTCATACATGGGAGAATCTGATCTTAATGCAATGAGTGATCAGAGCATCAAACAAATTCCTTTCATCTGGCATGCTATTCAGTTCCGGAAGATCTCCCATTACTGAACATTTGTTACCTAGCGCCATGACGTCCTATGAGTACAGAGCTCTGATCAGCAGAGATAAATAGAATATCAAATATAATCCTCCCGTCCAATCACTAGCAATGCTGATTCCGGCCTCACACTGTCTGCTGATCCCATTCATGCTCCATACACAAGGAGATGATAGCACAATACGAGTCATGTCAGTGGTATTCTGTGCTCATCCTGTGTATGGAGATATCACCGTCTCTACACATGGAGGACAATATTGGGGGGTCTACTCCATTATAACATTTGTCTTATAAAATTCTGTTTCCTGGAGATTTATAAAGTGATGGAATATAAATGAGTCCAATAAAGAGAAATGAGTTCCATCCATGTAGAGAATAGTTCCATTCATTCCTGGGGGGGGGGGGGGGGGGGGGGGGGGGGGGGGGGGGGGGGGGGGGGGGGGGGGGGATTCATTTCCTTCTGGTAACATTCTTCTCTTCTACAGATTGCATAATACTCACCTGACAGACAGTTCCTGCCCCCACCTGGCATCTGGAATAAGAAATAACCCGACACTGAGGACACTGAACCTGTCTAGGAACAATCTGGAGGGTCCTCATTTCAGGGATCTGATGGCAGCTCTGCCAACAAGCCGGATAGAGGAATTACAGTGAGTATAACAGGACTGACTGAGACAATCATATTCTGGGACAGATTAACATTCAATTGTCTAAATCTTCGGATCTTCTCTAACTCTGTTATCAGCAATAAATTAGACTTTTTCTACATCTGGCCATAAGTGGATCAAATATGGACAGGTTTAGTAAGGACCAGCCGAGATCTGACCCATCTATGGGCAGGCTGGTTGTACTGAAGTTGATCCGTCAATCACATTCAGTACAACCATCCTCTGGGACTTTTTGCATTCGATCACTGCTGGAGGTCTATAGCAGCTAACAGTGATCAGTGTTCTGCTGGCAGGGAAGGCTTCCTGTTGCAGAACACAGTTGTGCGGCAGGAGTGATTCCCCCATCCATTCTGACTGTGTTGATGGGGGGATTGAGCAATTGTCTTTCTTTCCACCCGTAGTGGAAGGAAAGAATATTGTATAGTCTGTAGCTTACTTAAAGCTCCCCACACACAGTACAGTCTGATCTTACAAGCTTCTTTACCTCCATTGCCTAATTGGATACAAACTGACTGGATACATTGGGTAGGTCCGCATATGATATAAAGTTGTACAAACAGCATAATATCAGATGGTAACATGGTGACCCTATAGACTATAAAATGTAAACATTAAAGTGTTACTAAACCCACAACAGTACAATCAGTCTGTAGATCTGTATATATCTTGCGAGCCAAGCAGTATGTGACAAATATTCACCTTGTGGCACAACTCTGGACAAAAATATGTCCGTGATATTACTGGATCGCAGACACATAACACATAACTACCACTGTGTACATAAATTATTTCATCATCTTGTGTTGCGCTCCTTATTAATTAATATTGTTTTATATAATTCTAGTGCCAAAATAAACAATGTATTTCTTAATGTTCAAATAAAAAAGTTGCATAAACATAAATATTCATAAATTCATATATAAAATAATAACTTAGTATATAAAAACATATAATTAATCCATATACGTGATTGTGTAATAAATTATAATTAATTGTGAATCATAATTTAGTGACAAAATATTAAAAAAATACCGTGAATATATACTCATAAAATAAATAAATTTTTAGTGCAAAAACATAGTCCCATTAATCAAGGAAATATATATAAAGTGACTCTGTGTTCTAATAATCTTGAATCCGTGACTGATTGTGAATCCGTGATTGTGTTTGTGAATCCTCCAATTAGTGCAGATGTAAGCTCACCTCCTTATATGCCTGCAATTAGGCTATATACACTTTTGGTCCACCTCCTTTGGGACCTGCTTGTTAAAATTTTCTCCTCTTTATATTACGGAGCGGGAGTATCCTTTAGAGCTGATTTATCCTCTCTGGAGTTGATCACTCCTCACAGTGATACAGACCCCTATACTCTCCTCTCCATGCGTTTCTCCACATGCAGGAAAGAAATGCCAGACATAGTGTTTTATCTTTTTTAAAACACTGCTTTATTCCTTCCAAGTAGTACACTCACATATAGTGAAGACGATATGCGGCACGTTCAGTCACGAAACAATCAGTCTGTAGATGCAGTAAAGCGTGCTTGTGATACTCCCTGTGGAACCTAAGGGGTTAATCCTCTGCATTGTGTAAAAAGACAGATTGATCCTTTCTGCTCTGTTCCTCCATTTTGCAAGCGACCACCTCTTATCTTCTGATAAGACAGAGTGAACTGTAGGCATTTTGCACATGCTCAGTTTAGAGTGTATTGTTAGAGAGGTTTCTTTTTCCTTGGAAGGGTGCATGTAATCAGCACAGGGCCAATCAACGCTGTCCAGGCAGAGATCAAGGGTTCTGCATCCTCCTAGAGCAAAAAGAAATCTCCTCCTACAAGCTTTAACCAGAGATCTGCTGGACACTGATAGAAGTCAAAAGACTGCTATATACTGCTGATGAGAAAAGGGATTTAGCAGTTTATACTTACTAAAGTAATTGCATTTCCACGTTGATGGGTTCGGGGGAGAGCATATATAAAGAATGCAGGGTCAGGGGAGAGCTGATATAGAGAATGCAGGATGGGGAAAGAACAAAAAAAGGGCGCACAGGCCTAGTGCATTACCATAAAAAATGTTTAATAAAAAATAAAGTAGGTGTTGTACTCACAAATGACAATATAGTCAAGGCACATCATAAAAGAACAGCTGGATCAACACCGCGCTAAGTAACAGTCCGCAATAGGGAGTTTAGACATCCAAAAGGCTGACGCGTTTCGAGGACTTGCCTCTTCCTCAAAGCCACTCTGAGGAAGAGGCAAGTCCTCGAAACGCGTCAGCCTTTTGGATGTCTAAACTCCCTATTGCGGACTGTTACTCAGCGCGGTGTTGATCCAGCTGTTCTTTTATGATGTGCCTTGACTATATTGTCGTTTGTGAGTACAACACCTACTTTATTTTTATTAAACATTTTTTATGGTAATGCACTAGGCCTGTGCGCCCTCTTTTTGTTCTTTCCCCATTCAGTATATTTGGATTCCCCCGGTCCATTTGAGGGCAGCAAGGTGTGCATGTTCCAGGACATTCTTAATGTGGTTGTAGCCTGCATCGAGTCCATCCCCAAGCGCAGGAGCATTTGTGTTTGATAGAGAATGCAGGGTCTGGGGAGAGCGGATATAGAGAATGCAGGGTCCAGGGAGAGCGGATATAGAGAATGCTGGGTCCAGGGAGAGCGGATATAGAGAATGCTGGGTCCAGGAAGAGCGGATATAGGGAATGCAGGGTCCGGGGAGTGTGGATATAGTTAGATCAGGGTCTGGATAGAGTAGATATAGTGAATGCAGAGTCCAGGGAAACCAGATATAGTGAATGCAGAGTCCAGGGAAACCAGATATAGTGAATGCAGAGTCCAGGGAAACCAGATATAGTGAATGCAGGGTCCGGGGGAGAGCGGATATAGGGAATGCAGGTTCCGGGGAAAGCGGATATAGTGAATGCGGGGTCTGGGGATATCAGATATAGTGAATGCGGGGTCTGGGGATATCAGATATAGTGAATGCGGGGTCTGGGGATATCAGATATAGTGAATGCGGGGTCTGGGGATATCAGATATAGTGAATGCGGGGTCCGGGGAAAGCGGATATAGTGAATGCGGGGTCTGGGGAGAGCGGATATAAACTCGATATAAAGTCAATCCTAAACTCAGCGGATAGACTCATCCACCTCACCAACCGCTCCACATCTGCCAGTCCCTTCACTGGCTCCCGATTGCCCAACGCATCAAATTTAAACTGCTAACCCTGACCTACAAAGCCATTCACAACGCCGCCCCAAACTACATAACTGACCTGATACCCAAATACTACCCGTGCCCTCCGCTCCTCACAGGACCTCCTACTCTCTAGCTCCCTGGTCTCCTCCTCCCATGCCCGATTGCAGGACTTCTCTAGGACTTCCCCCATCCTCTGGAAATCCCTACCCCAATCCATCAGACTGTCACCTACCCTCCTCACCTTCAGGTGCACCCTGAAAACCCTCCTCTTCAGGGAAGCCTACCCCAACCTCACCTAACACCTGACCTCACCTAACAACTTCCTCCACTCCTCCCACCACTCCATCCCCCACAGCCACTTCCTCCTGTACCACTATCCCCTCCCTCTTAGATTGTAAGCTCAAAAGAGCAGGGCCCTTGAACCCCTTGTGTACTGTTTTGTTACTGTATTGTCTCATGTTCTGTCCCCCCTTCTACTGTACAGCGCTGAGCAAACCCTTTGGCGCTATATACTGTATAATAATAATAATAATTATACAGTATTTATATAGCGCTAAAAGGTTTGCTTAGCGCTGTACATTATAGTGGGGACAGAACATGAGACAATACAGTAACAATACAATACACGAGGGGTTCAAGGGCCCTGCTCTTTTGAGCTTACAATCTAGGAGGGAGGGGATGGTGGTATAGGAGGAAGTGGCTGTGGGGGATGGAGGAGATTGGCTGTTAGGTGAGGACTGGGTAGGCTTCCCTGAAGAGATGGGTTTTCAGGGTGCGCCTAAAGGTGAGGAGGGTAGGTGACAGTCTGATGGATTGGGGTAGTGAGTTCCAGAGGATGGGGGAAGTCCTGCAGAAGTCGGGCGTGGGAGGTGGAGACCAGGGAGCTAGAAAGTAGGAGGTCTTGTGAGGAGCGAAGATTACGGGTAGGGTGGTATTTGGGTATCAGGTCGGTGAGGTTAGTTTGGGGCAGCGTTATGAATGGCTTTGTATGTCTGTGTTAGTAGTCTGAATTTAATGCGTTGGGCAATCGGGAGCCAGTGGAGGGAATGACAGAGGGGGGTGGCAGAAGCGGAGCGGTTGGTAAGGCGGATGAGTCTGGCCGCTGAGTTCAGGATAGACTGATATAGTGAATGCAGGGTCTGGGGAGAGCGGATATAGTGAATGCGGGGTTCGGGGAGAGCGGATATAGTGAATGCGGGGTTCGGGGAGAGCGGATATAGTGAATGCGGGGTTCGGGGAGAGCGGATATAGTGAATGCAGAGTCCGGGGAGAGCTGATATAGTGAATGCAGGGACCGGGGAGAGCCGATATAGTGAATGCGGGGTCCGGGGAGAGCCGATATAGTGAATGCGGGGTCCGGAGTTTAGTAACACTCTACATTTAGTTTGGAATCTGTATAGATGACATTAATGCTCATACATGGGAGAATCTGATCTTAATGCAATGAGTGATCAGAGCATCAAACAAATTCTTTTCATCTGGCGTGCTATTCAGTTCCGGAAGATCTCCCCATTACTGAACATTTGTTACCTAGCGCCATGACGTCCTATGAGTACAGAGCTCTGATCAGCAGAGATAAATAGAATATCAGATACAATCCTCCCGTCCAATCACTAGCAATGCTGATTCCGGCCTCACACTGTCTGCTGATCCCATTCATGCTCCATACACAAGGAGATGATAGCACAATACGAGTCATGTCAGTGGTATTCTGTGCTCATCCTGTGTATGGAGATATCACCGTCTCTACACATGGAGGACAATATTGGGGGGTCTACTCCATTATAACATTTGTCTTATAAAATTCTATTTCCTGGAGATTTATAAAGTGATCGAATATAAATGATTCCAATAAAGAGAAATGAGTTCCATCCATGTAGAGAATAGTTCCATTCATTCCTGGGGGGGGGGGGGATTCATTTCCTTCTGGTAACATTCTTCTCTTCTTCTACAGATTGTATGATACTCACCTGACAGACAGTTCCTGCCCCCACCTGGCATCTGTAGTAAGAAATAACCCGACACTGAGGACACTGAACCTGTCTGGGAACAATCTGGAGGGTCCTCATTTCAGGGATCTGATGGCGGCTCTGACAACAAGCCGGATAGAGGAATTACGGTGAGTATAACAGGACTGACTGAGACAATCATATTCTGGGGGACAGATTAACATTCAATTGTCTAAATCTTCGGATCTTCTCTAACTCTGTTATCAGCAATAAATTAGACTTTTTCTACATCTGGCCATAAGTGGATCAAATATGGACAGGTTTAGTAAGGACCAGCCGAGATCTGACCCATCTATGGGCAGGCTGGTTGTACTGAAGTTGATCCATCAATCACATTCAGTACAACCATCCTATGGGACTTTTTGCATTCGATCACTGCCGGAGGTCTATAGCAGCTAACAGTGATCAGTGTTCTGCTGGCAGGGAAGGCTTCCTGTTGGCAGAACACAGTTGTGCGGCAGGAGTGATTCCCCCATCCATTCTGACTGTGTTGATGGGGGGATTGAGCAATTGTCTTTCTTTCCACCCGTAGTGGAAGGAAAGAATATTGTATAGTCTGTAGCTTACTTAAAGCTCCCCACACACAGTACAGTCTGATCTTACAATCTTCTTTACCTCCATTGCCTAATTGGATACAAACTGACTGGATACATTGGGTAGGTCCACATATGATATAAAGTTGTACAAACAGCATAATATCAGATGGTAACATGGTGACCCTATAGACTATAAAATGTAAACATTAAAGTGTTACTAAACCCACAACAGTACAATCAGTCTGTAGATGCAGTAAAGCATGCTTGTGATACTCACTGTGGAACCTAAGGGGTTAATCCTCTGCATTGTGTAAAAAGACAGATTGATACTTTCTGCTCTGTTAATCCCTTTTTTGCAAGCGACCACCTCTTATCTTCTGATAAGACAGAGTGAACCATAGGCATTTTGCACATGCTCAGTTTAGAGTGTATTGTTAGAGAGGTTTCTTTTTCCTTGGAAGGGTGCATGTAATCAGCACAGGGCCAATCAACGCTGTCCAGGCAGAGATCAAGGGTTCTGCATCCTACTAGAGCAAAAAGAAATCTCCTCCTACAAGCTTTAACCAGAGATCTGCTGGACACTGATAGAAGTCAAAAGACTGCTATATACTGCTGATGAGAAAAGGGATTTAGCAGTTTATATTTACTAAAGTAATTGCATTTCCACGTTGATGGGTTCGGGGAGAGCGGATATAGTGAATGCAGGGTCCGGGGAGATCGGATATAGTGAATGCGGGGTCCAGGGAGAGCGGATATAGTGAATGCAGGGTCCGGGGAGAGCGGATATAGTGAATGCAGGTTCCGGGGAAAGCGGATATAGTGAATGCGGGGTCTGGGGATATCAGATATAGTGAATGCGGGGTCCGGGGAGAGCAGATATATTGAATGCAGGGTCCGTGGTGAGCAGATATAGTGAATGCGGGGTCCGGGGGAGACCGGATATAGAGAATGCAGGGTCCGGGAGAGACCGGATATAGTGAATGCAGGGTCCGGGGAGTGTGGATATAGTTAGATCAGGGTCTGGATAGAGTGGATATAGTGAATGCAGGGTCCGGGGAAAGCGGATATAGTGAATGCAGGGTCCGGGGGAGAGCGGATATAGTGAATGCAGGGTCCGGGGAGAGCGGATATAGTGAATGCAGGGTCCGGGGGAGAGCGGATATAGTGAATGCAGGGTCCGGGGAGAGCGGATATAGTGAATGCAGGGTCCGGGGAGAGCGGATATAGTGAATGCAGGGTCCGGGGAGAGCGGATATAGTGAATGCAGGGTCCGGGGGGAGAGCGGATATAGTGAATGCAGGGTCCGGGGAGAGCGGATATAGTGAATGCAGGGTCCGGGGAGAACTGATATAGTGAATGCAGGGTCTGGGGAGAGCGGATATAGAGAATGCAGGGTCCGGGGAGAACTGATTTAGAGAATGCAGGGTCCGGGGAGAGCGGATATAGAGAATGCAGGGTCCGGGGAGAGCGGATATAGTGAATGCAGGGTCCGGGGAGTGTGGATATAGTTAGATCAGGGTCTGGATAGAGTGGATATAGTGAATGCAGAGTCCAGGGAAACCAGATATAGTGAATGCAGGGTCCGGGGAGAGCGGATATAGTGAATGCAGGGTCCGGGGAGAGCGGATATAGTGAATGCAGGGTCCGGGCCATGAGAGCGGATATAGTGAATGCAGGGGTAGGGGAGAGCGGATATAGTGAATGCAGGTTCTGGGGGAAAGCGGATATAGTGAATGCGGGGTCTGGGGATATAAGATATAGTGAATGCGGGGTCCGGGGAGAGCAGATACATTGAATGCAGGGTCCGTGGTGAGCAGATATAGTGAATGCGGGGTCCGGAGAAAAAGCGGATATAGTGAATGCGGGGGTCTGGGGAGAGCGGATATAAACTCGATATAAAGTCAATCCTAAACTCAGCGGATAGACTCATCCACCTCACCAACCGCTCCACATCTGCCAGTCCCTTCACGGCTCCCGATTGCCCAACGCATCAAATTTAAACTGCTAACCCTGACCTACAAAGCCATTCACAACGTCGCCCCAAACTACATAAACTGACCTGATACCCAAATACTACCCGTGCCCTCCGCTCCTCACAGGACCTCCTACTCTCTAGGTCCCTGGTCTCCTCCTCCCATGCCCGATTTGCAGGACTTCTCTAGGACTTCCCCCATCCTCTGGAAATCCCTACCCCAATCCATCAGACTGTCACCTACCCTCCTCACCTTCAGGTGCACCCTGAAAACCCTCCTCTTCAGGGAAGCCTACCCCAACCTCACCTAACACCTGACCTCACCTAACAACTTCCTCCACTCCTCCCACCACTCCATCCCCCACAGCCACTTCCTCCTGTACCACTATCCCCTCCCTCTTAGATTGTAAGCTCAAAAGAGCAGGGCCCTTGAACCCCTTGTGTACTGTTTTGTTACTGTATTGTCTCATGTTCTGTCCCCCTGCTACTGTACAGCGCTGAGCAAACCCTTTGGCGCTATATAAATACTGTATAATAATAATAAAAATAATAATAATTATACAGTATTTATATAGCGCTAAAAGGTTTGCTTAGCGCTGTACATTATAGTGGGGACAGAACATGAGACAATACAGTAACAATACAATACACGAGGGGTTCAAGGGCCCTGCTCTTTGAGCTTACAATCTAGGAGGGAGGGGATGGTGGTATAGGAGGAAGTGGCTGTGGGGGATGGAGGAGATTGGCTGTTAGGTGAGGACTGGGTAGGCTTCCCTGAAGAGATGGGTTTTCAGGGTGCGCCTAAAGGTGAGGAGGGTAGGTGACAGTCTGATGGATTGGGGTAGTGAGTTCAAGAGGATGGGGGAAGTCCTGCAGAAGTCGGGCGTGGGAGGTGGAGACCAGGGAGCTAGAAAGTAGGAGGTCTTGTGAGGAGCGAAGATTACGGGTAGGGTGGTATTTGGGTATCAGGTCGGTGAGGTCAGTTTGGGGCAGCGTTATGAATGGCTTTGTATGTCTGTGTTAGTAGTTTGAATTTAATGCGTTGGGCAATCGGGAGCCAATGGAGGGAATGACAGAGGGGGGGGGTGGCAGAGCGGAGAGTGGTTGGTAAGGCGGATGAGTCTGGCTGCTGAGTTCAGGATAGACTGATATAGTGAATGTGGGGTCCGGGGAGAGCGGATATAGTGAATGCGGGGTCCGGGAGAGCGGATATAGTGAATGCGGGGTCCGGGGAGAGCGGATATAGTGAATGCCGAGGGTCTGGGGTTTAGTAACACTCTACTTTTAGAGCTGTATAAATAGATGACATTAAGTGTTCATGCATGGGAGAATCTGATCTTAATGCAATGATCTGTGATCAGAGCATCAAACAAATTCTTTTCATCTGGCGTGCTATTATTCAGTTTCCGGAAGATCTCCCCATTATGAACATTTTGTTACCTAGCGCCATGACTTCCTATGAGTACAGAGCTCTGATCACAGGGAAATAGAATATCAGATAAATCCTCCCGTCCAATCACTAGCAATGCTGATTCGGCCTCACACTGTCTGCTGATCCCATTCATGCTCCATACACAAGGAGATGATAGCACAATACGAGTCATGTCAGTGGTATTCTGTGCTCATCCTGTGTATGGAGATATCACCGTCTCTACACATGGAGGACAATATTGGGGGGTCTACTCCATTATAACATTTGTCTTATAAAATTCTATTTCCTGGAGATTTATAAAGTGATGGAATATAAATGATTCCAATAAAGAGAAATTGAGTTCCATCCATGTAGAGAATAGTTCCATTCATTCCTGGGGGGGGGGGGGGGATTAATTGTCTTCTGGTAACATTCTTCTCTTCTTCTACAGATTGTCCTAATAATCACCTGACAGACAGTTCCTGCCCCCACCTGGCATCTGGAATAAGAAATAACCCGACACTGAGGACACTGGACCTGTCTGGGAACAAGCTGGGGGGTCCTCATTTCGGGGATCTGATGGCGGCTCTGACAACAAGCCGGATAGAGGAATTACGGTGAGTATAACAGGACTGACTGAGACAATCATATTCTGGGACAGATTAACATTCAATTGTCTAAATCTTCGGATCTTCTCTAACTCTGTTATCAGCAATAAATTAGACTTTTTCTACATCTGGCCATAAGTGGATCAAATATGGACAGTTTAGTAAGGACCAGCCGAGATCTGATCCATCTATGGGCAGGCTGGTTGTACTGAAGTTGATCCGTCAACCACATTCAGTACAACTATCCTCTGGGACTTTTTGCATTCGATCACTGCTGGGGGTCTATAGCAGCTAACAGTGATCAGTGTTCTGCTGGCAGGGGAAGGCTTCCTGTTGGCAGAACACAGTTGTGCGGCAGGAGTGATTCCCCCATCCATTCTGACTGTGTTGATGGGGGGGATTGAGCAATTGTCTTTCTTTCCACCCGTAGTGGAAGGAAAGAATATTGTATAGTCTGTAGCTTACTTAAAGCTCCCCACACACAGTACAGTCTGATCTTACAATCTTCTTTACCTCCATTGCCTAATTGGATACAAACAGACTGGATACATTGGGTAGGTCCTCATATGATATAAAGTTGTACAAACAGCATAATATCAGATGGTAACATGGTGACCCCATAGACTATAAAATGTAATCATTAAAGTGTTACTAAACCCACAACAGTACAATCAGTCTGTAGATGCAGTAAAGCATGCTTGTTATACTCACTGTGGAACCTAAGGGGTTAATCCTCTGCATTGTGTAAAAAAGGTTGATTGATCCTTTCTGCTCTGTTCCTCCTTTTTTTTCAAGCTACCACCTCTTATCTTCTGATAAGACAGACTGAACTGTAGGCATTTTGCACATGCTCAGTTTAGTGTGTATTGCTAGAGAGGTTTCTTTTTTTTCCTTGGGAGGGTTCATGTGATCAGCACAGGGCCAATTAGTGTTTTCAGACAGAGATCAAGGGTTCTGCATCCTCCTAGAGCAGAAAGAAAATCCTCCTACAAGCTTTAACCAGTGCTCTGCTGAACACTGATAGAAGTCAAAAGACTGCTATATACTGCTGATGAGAAAAGGTATTCAGCAGTTTATATTTACTAAAGTAATTACATTTCCATGTTGTGTGTACTGTGGGAGACCAGATATAGTGAATGCAGGGTCGGGGAGAGCGGATATAGTGAATACGGGGTCGGGGAGAGCGGATATAGTGAAGGCAGGGATTTGGGGAGAGTCTTTCTGGATTTATGAGTTGGGGAGTTTAGCACCAGGTGGGTTTAAATAAAGAATTCGATTTATCATGCTTTCATTAGTGATGTGTAATGTATAGTAATGCTCTTGACGTCAATTACATAGGGTTTCTGGTATAGCATTTAATAAAGTGTATGGATCTGCGTGATGAATAGGGAGGGATACCATAAGTTGGTTATGTATCTCGTTTGCCACGCAGATATATATACATGTTGGTTTTCTCATTTATATTTAATATATGATATATGGTGGGAGGTATAATCCGTGCCCACTCAAGCATTGTGAGATAATAGATTTAGGGGGTCTATTGTGTATCATATATACATTTTATTTTTAATATGTTACTTTTAAGTATTCTCCATTCATGATTCTTTGAATGGTAGATTCTATGTTATGGTGTATGGGAAATATATATTTAGAGTATTTGTTATAAGTACTCTGATTATTTCCCCATTTTTATTTATTTTTTATTTTTTTTTACATTGTATTCTGTGAATATATTTTTATTGATATAAATATTTTTATTGAAATAAATATTTTGTATAAGCTTTAAAATTGTTTATATACATGGTTGTGTATGTTATCACATACTACCATGTGTATTAATGTATTTTATTTTTTGAGGTATTGGAGTGTTATATTGTTGTACATTAAAGATTGATTTGCGTACCGCTAAGCCGTATAGTCATGACACTTGCTCTCTCTCCGGGTAGACATAGCAGTAAGGATACATATTTAAGAATTGGCAACAATATCGCTGTACAAAGTGCCCCCCAAAAATATGGCCGCCCCCATTGGATAGTCAACAAAATGGCGCGGCTGGGCTATTTAATCCGGCAATGGAAGAGTGACTAACCTATCACAACCCCCCCTGATGAAGCCACGTGACCGGTGGCGTAACGCGTAGGGGTGGGGCTGCGGTGTCACTCGGAGAGAGCTGGAGTATCGGACAGACGGCAGGTGCATGGCGGACGGCTGGCGGATCATTAGAGCTGAGCAATTTCATCCTATACCGCATATCACATATGTGAGTGTATCTGCTGGAAAGTAATAAAGGAGAAACCTTTTTATAAGGATAAAAACACTATGTCTGGCAATTTGTTCCCCACATATGGGAAAAACGCACATGGGCTATTTGAGGATAACGCATATCCACGTTCTCACCATTTATAAAGGAGGAATTCCATCTAAGCAGGTTCCATAGGAGGTGAACCACAAGTGTGTATAGCCTAATTGCAGGCTAACAAGGAGGTGAGCATACATCTTTACCAATTGAGGATTCAAAGAAAGTCACAGATTCACAAAAAGTCACCAAATCAAGATTTATTCAAGCACAAAGTCACTGAATTTAAAGGACATTTATATCACAATTATTTGGCAGTATATATACAATTTTTTGAGTATTCACTATTTATGATGTATATTCTTTTTATTTATATATTTTAGTATACTATGCACTATCTATTGGTTTTGCGGTTAATATCATTTAATTTATATACACCATAGTGGTTTATATATTTTTTTCAAATCACTTACATAGTTTGATTTTGTTATATTTTCATTTAATACCTGAAAAATTATTTTCATATCAAAGTTAATTAGATATATACATCAAAGATATTGTCACTGGGAGCGCAAACACATTTATATATTTATGACTTTTTTGGACACCTAGGTAGTGTTGTGTTGAGTGTTTGCGATCCTATATATATTCTGGACAGTGAGTGTCCATTCTCTTGGTTTTGAGAGGTTAATATTGGGTGGATACAGACTGGCTCGCAAGTCACACAGATATTTGCTAATTGATTAACTACCTACCATACTTGCTAGAGACAACATGGAAGTATTCACTTATTTGGAAAACAGGAATATAGATATTGAAGCCATATTTAAGGCAGATGATAAAAATGATATAAATATTCACAATGTGTTCAGACGAGCAGGACATTTAATGGAGAAAAAAAATTAATGCATGGTGGGACATCATAACCATGGGAAAAATATATAAAAGAAAAATTAATACCCAGAAAATTGAGATGGGATTTACCCATTGCAGATGGACTAACGGAGGAAGAGGATAAAATTGAATGGTACAATTTCTTTAGTGAGAAAAGTTTAGAATTGTTGGTATTTCTCACTAAAAGAAAACAAAGGAAAATGAGGAAGATTGAAATAAATGTAAAAGAACAGGCAGAAAAAATAGATTCATATAAGGATCACTCTGAGTTTGGCAAATATATGAGTGAATTGAATAAATATGTAAAAAATAAAGATCAGGAAAATAAAAATAAGAAAAAAAGGAAAATATCAAAGAGTCACACAAGATTACATTTCCAAACAGGTGTACAAATGGCAGAGTACAAATAATAACACAGGCATTTCATCTACAAGAGTACACCTACTAAATCTATACCAAATAGTGAAGTGGTAGTGAAAAAATCAATAGCATTTACAACACCTAAAAATGCAAATCACACTCAGAAAACACCTATATCTAAGAAAGAGATAGGACCACCTCAACATGGTCATAATAGAGACAATTGGAAACAATATGATCAGTATCCACCTCAAAATAGAGACTCTTACCGACCCCCCCATCCAGGTTATAAACCATATTACAATCCAGGATATAGAGGGGGTGGTTATAGAAGACCTTATGGCCATCCACCAGGTACACACAGGGATACAGACCCAATTACTACAGATCCCCAGGTTACAAACAACAAGGTTATCCTCCACCATCTAATCATGTGTATAATGTACCCACTCACAATAGTTACTCACCTTTGGAGCAGTTACAACAAGATAATCCCATTCCTAACCCTTTTTTAGGGTGGGATCACAATCCCACACACAATACAGAAAGATCAGAAAGAGGGGAAAGAGAGGAGGTAGAAACAGGAAACAAGAAAAGGAGAAGGGACCCATAGGTCAGGGCATTTACAATCTTAGTGGGATACCTTTAACCAAAGAAGAGATTAAAGTACTAGATAGAGGCTTAAAGTTTGCACCAACCAATAAATTGAATAAGTTTGAAACTTACATTAGTGTACAAAAATTTGTGAGAAAATTAAATTTGAAAAAGTATTTTATACAAAATCCGATCAAAACCAGTAGTCAGAATATTGGCAACACATTACACAGTACGTTGAAAAATAAATCTACATTCAATCCTAAAAATCAAGATAATATATACATTAATAGTTTTTAAAAAATTAGTAATGGAAGATATAGAGACATTACAGATCAAAACGTTCAAAGGAGAATCTGACATCAATAAAGGCATTAAGTCCTTGAAAGATAGAGACAATATAGTGATAAGGACCGGCTGATAAGGGGGGAGGAATAGTAATATTATCAAAAGATTCATATGAAACATCTATGAGAAAAATGCTAGAAGACACAGAAACATATTGCAAACTGACTGGTAATCCTACAAAGTTATATAAAAAGGAGTTAAATAAAATAATAGAATATGGAAAGAGAAAAAGATATGTTGGATGAGAAAGAGGCAAAATATTTGGTGCCATCGGTGAGTAAAATACCAATTATCTACTCTATACCAAAAATACATAAGGACATAAAGGATCCACCTATGAGACCAATAGTTAATGCAATAGATGGATTAACATCCAGGATGGGTCAGTACATAGACCAATTCCTCCAACCCTTGGTAGAAAAAACTAAAGCGCATTATTAAAGATACCACACATGTTATTAATACTATACAAATAACGATTGAGGTAAATAGTACAACTGATTTGATTCTTAGTACAAGCGGATGTCTC